CCACCACCTGGGTTGACATTTGGCATCTCTGTTTATGGAGGCAGAAAAGCAAGGCAAGTTCAACAACATTTCAATGTCGGTCGCTGGGTCTTCAGGCTCCTCTACTGTCTTCTGTGGCTCCTCTCCTTCAATCATTCTCAATGTCTGTCAGTACATGTCTTCGTCTACATCTCCGTCGCCGTCCATCCATTTGTCCTTGTGTCTCCACTTTTTGCAGCGGGACAAGGACGGCGCCGACATTATCCTGTGCCTGTCTCAGCCAGGCGGCAAACTTAACGACGGGAAATGCCAAAATCACTTACACACAGACACAACCGCAATAAGTTGATGAGGAAAATTGAAATGATATTTTCCCCACAAAATACAATTCAAAACTGGCCAACCAAGAAGGGCATAAGTCCGTTGGGTTAATATATATATATATATATATATATATATATATATATATATAGACTGCTATAAATATATCCCGTCTTTATACCATATCACTTGTTTATAGCTACCACTTTAAATAACATCAATTAAAAATAATATAATGTTTACGATAGTATCTATATTTAAGCACTTCAAAACACAATTTCATTCAAAATATCTAATAAAATCTTTACTGTTGATTTAATATCCTTGAATCCATATATATTTTACTACACAAGCTCGAGGCAATATTTTCTATCTGCTTGGTTGTTAGAAATATGTTTTTGTCACTGCCTCGAAGGCATTTAATTAAGCATACCAGCCGACAACAAGAGGATAAGAAACGAACGAGGAAAAGTCATACACAAACCCAACGCAGCCAAACATAATTATTCATTTTCATTGTGCACTTTGGAGGCACTTGAGCAAATTTTGTGCAATTTGCACCACGCAAAAGTGCAGAAATTGAAATAAATGGATGATAACGAAAGGGGGCAAATGGGGGTGGGCGGTGTTGAGTTGGGTATAAATGAAGTGGAGTACTCAATGTTTGTCTGCCCGCTTGCAGCAGCAGCAGCAGCAGCAGCAGTAGCAATGCAAACACCAGCAGCAGCAACAACAATTGCAGAAGTGTCTGCAACATGTTGCCATGACAATGACTGTCGACGTTTGGCGCCGTCTGGCAAACACAACCACACACACGGAGGGAAATCTATAAGTACACACAGAATCAGACTCACGCAGACAGACTCTCCACAATGCATATCAAATGCTTAAATGACAACAGCAACATCTACGCTGCGAGTAGCAACATCAACTACTGCACAGAGAAAAATTGGTAAATATTTGTAACTTCATTTTATAATCTGTAAATTAGTATTTTATGTCTTCAAAATGCCATGATATAATCATCAGTTTACAGTTGCTACCATCTATCTTAATTATTGTTTTTCATTATTTGCTATCAAAACGCAAGTAGTTACGAATTTAAAATGTTTCTTTTTCTGCTGTACTAACATAAACGTGTGACAAAGCAGCTAGGGGCGGAAAAGCGAGAAAAAGTGACAATGGGAAGGAAAACGGCGGGGGGATCCCTGAAAGACAGTTACAATAAATGTCATGTTTAAGGCAGTCAAGCGACGCACATCACTCCTCGAAAAGAGTAGACTACTGCCAGCCAAACTCCATCAGCAACATCCGCGCACACAAAACAGCATCAGCACAACAGCAACAGCAACAGCAACAATAATAACAATAATAATGCCAACAACTTTGGCAAACATGGCCCGAAGCAATTCCACTCGCACCTGAGTGGGCGTAGACATGTCTGAGATGGAGAACTTTTGCATAAATTTACTGACTTTAATAAAAATTTAATTCCATGTGGAATTTGCACATTGCAACGACCGTAGCATATGCCACATTTTTTTTTTTTTTTGCACTCCTTTAAGAGCGCGTTTTTATATCGCAGTAGACTGCATAAATTTCGGGCCTGTCCAGTGGCGCCCATCAACCGAATTTTTGTCTCTTGCCATTCCGCTGGAATTCGGCTCAAAATTCGCTGACACTGGCAAAGAACTGAAAACGGAAAACTCTTGATGCCGCGAGAATGTGCAGCCATCAATCTGTGAAAGTGTCGCCACTGCAGAGCCCTCTGTAAAAAATTGGGAGAACATAGGGTAACGATAAATATTTAATACCCTTTAATCGAATTTAATTTGTTCAAAGTCAAACATTATTTGAAATTATATTATAACCTTTTTAATAGATCGTTATTTGAGTCTACAACACTTTCTATCTTATTTTCTACATACCCTATATATTGTTATTTCCTTTCCAAGGGTATCATCAAAAACCGAAGCCAAACCAATAGGTGCCTGTCGTTCCCTTTCAATTTTTGAGTTTGACAACAGCTCGGAAAAGCAAAAGGAAATGGCCTGATGTCTAGTGTCAGTTTGTAAAAAGAGGGCGAAGGAGAAAAAACAAAAATGATCGCAAAAACAGCCAGCGAACATTTATTTATTTCTATTCAAATTTGAAATTTCAGACTGCGAATCCGATTTCGGGAGCAAGGCAGACACACATGGCAGCGCTCATCAATCATTTATATAAAAACTTATTTTCTTGCTTAAAGTTCGCCAGAGACAAAGATTGATTGGCATATTAAAAACGCGCAGAAAACAGAGCAGATCTCAAACTGAATCATCGGACACACCCCTCCAAAAACCAACAACAAATAAAAAAAAAAAAAAAGAGGAAAGGATTAAGGAAGAGCTGAAACAATTAGCAGATGTGCTGCTGCAGAGTCCGAATTGAAGTTCAATCCCCGAAGCTGTGTTAATTATAATTATGGCTGCCTTGCTTTTTTACGCTTCTTTTTGACGTAAATCCCTTGACAGCCAAAATGTCGACAGCTGATTGCAAGAAAGGTTATAACCCCCCGAAGTCTATGATATGCTGATTAAAAAATCAGCGAGGCGGCAACAACCCTTTCGGGAATCATCGAGTGGCACAGCAAATTGCTGGATGATGATTAACAAGTTGACTTGTCTTAATTATGACAAACCGGTTTTCGGTTTGATCCGTTTTGTTTGACTCGAGGATAACTACAAAAAATCCTTACCCCTCGGGCAAATAAGAAGAACTTTATCCTGCCAATTTGAATTTCACTTTTCTATTTTTCGTTCCAGTTCTTTAAGCCCGGCCAAAAACTTCTAACCGACAAAATCCTAGACAGTTTATACAAAAAAAAAACAAAAACAAAACCAAAATTTCGCCTGGGTTGCATGGCATTTTGAATGGCATTAAATATTTATAAATTCAATACGAAATGCAATTCGGAATGCATGCCAAAAAGGAGCAGCAGCACAAGCAACAAGAACAACAACAACAACAACAGATTGAATTGTAAAGTTTTTAAAAGCAATTCGCTGCCAGACAATGCCTTCTCTTTCAGATGCGTGCAGACACCGCATAAGTTGGCCAAAAGGGAAATTCCGAGACCAGCTGCAGATACAGATACATTCGCCAGATACAATTTTGGCTAAGCAAAACATATTCAAAGCTCTCTGGGGCGGCAGACAGGTAAGGTGTGTTCCAAGGATTTTCCGTCGAATGTCCTGCGAGAAATTCACCCCGCCACTCTGTCTGCTGCTTATGAAATATTCAAGGCGCACTCGAAGGACTTGTGCATCCCTCATATGCACACATACATGTATGTATATGTTATGATTTCATGAGTTCTGACCAAAGTGGATTTCGGTTTGGCAACCGCAAATGGCGAAGTTCGCCTTGGAGGCGCACTAATTGCCACTTGAAACAATCCCCAGCCCAAAAGACTGCGGCTCCGAATCGGTTTTACTCGGTTCAATACCCCTGCTCGTCCTAACCACAAACCCAATCATATATATCAATTGAAGCAACAGCAACAATGGGATTCAGTCGAGCATAATCCATAACAATGTGCTGTTCGAAGGGCTTAAGCAGGCCTCAATCTCAAAATTCAATGACTTGCAGTGCACAGGGAAAAATAGATATTATAATCCTAAATCTAATATTGTAAATATGCGAATTTGAATGAGACTTTTAATTATTAAAAATAATTGCTCTACTTTAAAGCAACTAAATGAACTAGGTTTCAGGCAGCATATTAATCAAGAACTATAGGATTCTACAACCTATGCGTTTAAATATACTGTTTTATACTAATGAAATGACCCAAATTATGAAACCAATGAAAGTGTATTTCCCTTATTTTGCTGAGTGAAAATTACATACAATCGAAATCAACTTACACTTGAGCCAGCCATCTCTCTTACTTCCACACCCATGAAATTGCTTGGCTGGGCATTACACCAAGTGTAAACAGAAATCCAAAACAATTCTGAGGGAAATCGGGGGTATATAGAACGCTATATAGGAGGGAATAATGGAGGGGTCGAAGAAAGACTGAATGAGAGGCGGCAAGATTGAAAGATAAGCAGCCCGCCCAAAGACTTTTTCCCCTTGATTGGCTTCCAATGCACTCATTCACAATCGATGATGAAGTGCACCGAAAAAAAAATATAAAATACAAAAAAACAAATACAAATGAAGTCTTTAAAACTATTCATTCTTTGACTTAAGATTTCAAGACAAATTTGGTCCACAAAAATAGAAAATAGAAAAATAGAAAAAATAAAACCTTGCTTCCCACTACACCACAGTTTTTCAGCTTATTATTCGTTACGCTACTCATGTGACTACAAAAAAGCTTAGACAATGAATATTTGTATTTTTCTACGCTGCATTTGGAGCTCGTCGCTTCCCGAGAATTCTAACTCAGCTTGGCAGCCTCCGGAGACCAGCTGGAAATTATCTAATCCAACAAATAAACCCACAAGACCCCTCGATGTTTATACCAAGGCATATCCAATTGCAAGTTTGCCAAGTTAGGCAGATATTTGTTTGCCTTTCCTTCCAAGAAATCAAAGTCAAGCAAACTTTGCGGTTTCTCAATGAGTGAATAAGCGAAAAAGTGAATGAATATGTGAGTAAATACCCTAGGATATTAAACACGTATATATTTATTTATGGACATAACTCACCTTGACTTGATAAGAATTCAAACGAGTCTTTGGCAGCAAGTTGAAAGACGAAAAGTCCAGGCGACGCGAAAAGATCCCATTGCAACCAGATGTGGAGCTAAAAAGAGTAAGGGAAAAATATGCATAAATCAGAAAAAGATAGATAAGCGGTAAATATAAATGTGAATGCACAAATTCCTCCAAATAAATATGTAAATTCTTTGACAGCTGGAAAATTGCAATTGTGACAGGCGAGCGGAAATTCCTCTAGTCTCGAATTCAAACCGGATAGAATGGCGATAAGGATATCCCTCTCCAAAACGTACTTACATATATTGCATAGTGGCTCTAGGCCACGACTGACTAATCAAAGACTACGTGACTTTTTGTTTCTCTCTCTACACAAAAATGAATTTCCAATTTCTTTGCTTTTTCTGACGTCAGAGTGGGCCAAAATAAAATGAAAACAAAAGTTGCTTAAAGGCCTTAAAAGCTTAAAAATTGGATTATAAAATTAAAACAAATAAAATTATTTTTAACTCCCTCAAGCTGAGTAGCTTTCATGAGGGGCGCTGGGAATTTTGCACATATTTTCTTTTCAGCTTGTTATACTGCCTACGGCCAAAGCAAATAAAGTTATCAACAATGGCCAATATAAAACAGAAAAAAAAAACAAAATATATATATATACAACAAAAATAACAAGAAAACAAAAATGAAAGCAAACAGAAAATGTGCTAAAGCAGTGAGAGAAGAAACGACATGAGACAAAACAGTCGAATTCATTTGCTGACCTTGACATTGAATAGATTTTATTTTGTTTTTTCTTCTCCCCCCTGGTTTTATTTGCATTTATTTTAATTTTAATTTTATTTCTACAGCCCTCTCACTCGCTCTTATCAACTTGGGAGGGGGCCTCTCCGTTTAGCTCATGTGGAATTTCAACTTATCTGAAGGAGAACAAAAAAATACCTTATCTGGTTGTTGGACTCGCCAAAGCTGAAAGTTTTTTATTGTTTTTTTTGCTGTCATTAGAAATGCTATAATACGCTGTTTATTTACACTTTGTCTTCGATTATATAACGTAAACAAAGCAGACCGAATGTCGCGTCATCTGGAAGTTAGTCATCAGGTTTTGCTAATCAGCAAAGCGGTGCAAAATTTGTAATTTATTTTTAAAACAATTACAGGCGGTGAGGAAATTCAATTTCGAAAGGTTAATTAAGCCAAGCGTACATTCCTTCACCCACAAGTATGTACACCCCACCCCTTCTCTCTCTCCGTCCCTCGAGATATTCTGCTAATTTGGGCAATATGAATTTTAATTCGAATCGAAAAACATAGCAGCAGCTGGTCATTTCGAATCGTTCAGATCGTTCAGATCGTTCATATTCAATGCGCTCGATCCGCTCTTTATTGTTTGCTTATTTTATTGATCGGATCTCGCACTCCAGATCGAGATGTGCACGGCTAATGAATTTTAATGGCCCAAATGCGTTGGCCTTCCCACCGCCTATTATTGTTCATTTTTGGCCCGAACACGTGTGCTCTGCTCTGCTCTGCTGTTTCTTTTGCTATAGAATCGAACAGGCTAGCCCGCTTTCAAAAGCGATCTTAATTTTATGAGTGTTCGCTTTCTTTATTGGGATGCACAAAGTGCTAGAATAAAATCGGGCATCTTATTTGGTCGGGTAATGAGTTTATCGATATTATTTTGTCAGCAAATTATGAAATTTTATCACATACTGCATATACGAATTGAAGTGAATCGTTTTTTAATTGTCAAAACAGCTATAAATTTGATCAGCATAAAATTTGTATTATTTATCATAGCAAATTTGATAAACTTTGCAACAGATTACCTTAAACTAACAAATTAGTTCAACATTTCCCAAAATATTCTGGCACTTTAAATAATTTAATGATCTAATGATTTAATGATCTCCAAACTATTGTGATATTAATTTTCTAACCTCACTGATTTAAATAATTATATTACTCAAGACTGTTAAGTTTATTGCCCAGCTAACTGATTAAATTTTCAAACAAGTCATCTCGTTTGGGCAGAGTATATAAAATTGCTCAATTTTTAGATACAAATATGGCCGAATTTTGCATTTCAAGATCTGTGAGTCAGATCCGCCTCCTGTCATCCCCAGCTATATAGCATATAGCTGTCATAGGAACAGCAATCAATGCGCATTGGATTTGGGGGGGCTGGCCCGTTCTTCCTGTCTGGACTTTTGTTGACTTCGATTTGGAATTGAATGGCGTCCATTGTGAAATGCAGTCAGAGCTAAAGTGAAGTCCGAGTGGTCGAATCAGAAACCAAGTCCGAATCCAAAACCCATGAATATGCTGTAATTTATAGGCGGCGTCGCTTCCGTCGCCTGTCAAATTGAATGAGCCAAATGAGTTGAGCAGCCAAGACAAAGGCGTTTCGAATTAGAATACCAAACATTATCACATGTTCCGAGCAGCTGACTCTGACCTTGAATGGCCGAAAAAAAGTATAAACAAAAGCGAAACTGTGTTGCCATATAAGCTGTTTTGTAGCCAAGTAAGGCAGCTTTAAATGGTGTAAAAAAACATTTTTTTATTAAGCTGGTTTTAGGGTTTCTTAAGAATTATTAAGTAAGAAAGATCAAGAACGGCTACCTTGTCAAATAGTTGCATTTTTAGCCCTCATTTTTCGTTTAAAAATTGTTTGAGTTTGTTAGTTCTAATTGATTTTCACTTATTGTTTATTATTATAATCCATTTTTTATACAATTTTTTTAGCAGCGCTGAGGTAAACTTGTTCAAAGATGGGGTGTGGTATTAATCATACCCTATAGGGAGGGCGGATCGATCGGGCGAGGCCTTTGGCCTGCCGTCAAATGAGAGATGAAATGTCGGGGACCCAGGCTCAAGTCGTGCTGCTGTTGTGTGGATTTGCGGGCAGGCTGCTTTTTCCTGGCGCTATTCGAGATTTTCTCATCGATCTTGGGCTTCTTCGTGGGCGAAGGTAAGCGGAGGTAAGCTCTGCTTTTGAATTCTGTTTAATTTGGTAAATCAATCACCTTTTTAAACCACCCACAGATGGTCGCCTGTTGCTGATCGGCCGAGCTGCCTATATGCTGCATTTCATTGGATCGATTTTTCTTCTGATGAGCAGCTTTTTGGTATGTGATCACCTTCGGAAAGGCTTTCTCTGATCCAATCCCATCTCTTGCAGCAGATCGAAGTTCTGGTCGTCATCTATCTAATGACCAATACAGTCCATCTGATCTTTTGCACCGCCTTTGTCATTGATTACGCCTTGAGTTGCGGATTTTGCGCATTGGAAACCATTCCAGTTTTTTTGACCCTAAGTAAGTATAACTTATTCTTATCATTTAAAATTCAATAAAATTAAATAAATAAAAAACTGTAAATACAATTTCTAATTTACAAAGTTAATATTTTAATATGTTTAAAAAAAAATATATTTTATAAATTCTTTAGTTCTCAGCCTCTATTTCTGGTTGGTGGCGTTTTCATATTGGCGACGCCTTCAATGGGAACACAATCCCGAAAACGATGACTGAGGCCAAGAAGGGGTATCGTTTATTCTGGATCTTGGAGTGTTTATTATTCTCTGTCTTCATGTTTATTTTGGTCTGTGTACTTTTTCGTTTTGGCCTTAATTTCACACTAATTTGTAAATTTGCCTTTAATGCCAAAGACAAAGAAGAAAACGAAAAGAGCAAAGTTCCGCAAATTGTTTGTCCAGAGAAATATTTTGTATTCGTTGCCGAGGAAGAAGCAAATGAATTGCAGGCAATCAGAATCGGAGGGAAGGGAAACTATTTTCCAGCGTGGTTTTCCTTCTCGAAAGGCAACCCAATCACTTCATTCCCGGGCAATTTTCAATCACGTGCTAAGTGCTGCCAGACAGAAAAGAGTCGATTTGTCTGCCCTGCCACGTTAGCGTGCAATGCAATGTCGAGAGGGGAAAACTGGGAAAATCGGAGGAAAAACTGGAGCTGATTTGTGTGCTGCATAATTTTCCGTGCCACAAAAAGAGGGGGGAGCAGCAGCCCATCAAGTGGCAAAACTATTTGCCCTATCACGTACAAATTAAAAATGTGAAATGTTTCAATTTCTGTGGGTCTGTCAGTCTTCTCTGTTTTTGGGATTGCCATTGCCTCACACAAAAACAACAACGGCCAACTGAGCTCCACTTCAACTTCGATTGTGGATCCCCCATTCCTCTCCAAGCCCCTCACACCATCCACCATCCACCATCCATCGGTTTATGTAAATTCATTTGCGGTGACTTTGCTTTGGCGCCCAATTAGTTTAATTTATGCAAATACAGAGCGGGCCACTGACAGTGCGTGGCAAAAATGTAAGTCAACGGATGTGGAGAGCATGTGGTGGCTATAATCGATAATTAGGTAATTGGATCATTTATAAACTGAAAGTGTTCATGTTAATCTCGAAAATGCCATTAATCGATTCTGTTGAACTGTTGAAACTGGAACAATCGATAGTTTAATATGTCATTTTCCTATTTCTGATAGAGCGCTACATTATTTCATGACTTTGAATGTGAATGTTGAAATCATGTTGCAATTGGACAAGAGTAATGAAGGAATAGTTTATGATTTAACGAAATCGATAATGTAATCGTTCTTATAAGGTTATTGATTATACACAAAATCTACATAAAGAAGCTTATATTTCCTTCACATAGCCTTATACTTGTGCATCCAACTGTACCTCTATGATATTCATATCTCGAGGCCCGCTAAATTTAGATTTGTCTCCAAGCATCTGACTCGGAGAATTTAATGATTTTCATGTTTGTCGATATTTCTTCGGTCACTCTGCTCCGCTTCGATCTGAACTGATCTCATTTACGTTTTGACCATAATAATATCCATTTGAATGCAGATCAGTGCTTCTTTAGGTCAGTTTTTTCTTTCGATGGGTTTGGCCTCCAAACAAATGTCAAAGCTGCGATTGCAATTAATCGATAAATTGCCAACTTCTGGGCGCTGCCAATTCTCAGTACCTGTCCGTGCAATTCTTCAAGCGCTTCAAACTGCGGTAAAGATTTGTACATTTGATAATTTGATTGCGATTGCTGTTATTTCTGCTTTTGGGACCACACCTCACAATAAATTAGACGCTGCCCAAAATGCGCAACAAATGCAAAAATAATAATAATAATGGCAAAAGTAAATAGACGAGGCGACGTACACAGTTTTCGTGCAATTGCCTCGTCTCACGTTTTTCCCATAAATAACTGGCTGTGGGCCACTGCCCCCTTCCCGCTCTCTCACCTGCAATTCATTTTTAAATATAAAAAATAAATAAATGTATATTTCTTTGTTTGGAGCTGGTGCTTCTGGTTATTGATTAAGTTTGGCAATCCCACCACCCTCATTTGGTCACGCCCCATCATTTGATTGAACTTTTCCCTAAGCGAAATAAAAATTGGAAAATCTGCAGTAGTAGGCCACAAAGCCAAGATAAATCACAATGCAAATAGGAGTGTGGTCATGGTAAAACACTTCAAATGCCAAAGTTGGCACCGCAAGCGACGAATCAAAATCGAAATGAGTTTCCATCTCACACCGAATAAACCAAATCAAATTTAATGATTCAACATTTTACTTTCATTTCTCTGTTGCCAAATTTTCCTATTTTTTTGGTTTTTCCTCTTTTACTAGTCTAGTGAATGGGTGCGGTCAGTATTTGTTATTTTCCCATGCTAGAGTTTTACACACGCACCCTCTTAAAAGAAAAAAAAAATCGCATACCAATTTATTAACATTTAAATCGAATTTTTCCTTATCGCTTATTTGGGGAGAGGAGGTAAATGCATTTCCATGTAGTGGACATAGGCAAATAAAAAAATACAAATGAAATGCAATACGCTAATGTGAAATCTTGTCTACAATAGAAACCAGACAAACAGCAACATCTCGAAATTTAGTTAATATAAATAATAGGAGATATATTCGATACCAATTTCTTTAAATATTCTTGAGTTCATTTTTAAAGACTACTTTGTCAAAGGAATTACTTATAAATTAAGTTGACATATATTTTATTTTCGACAATAGTACACAGATTCCTTTTTATCGACTGTCCCATGTACTGCAATCTGAGCTCAAACCAAAACAAAAAAAATTAAATACAAAGCGAAAAACTGACCGCATCGCGACGCAAGATCAGCGGCGAGTGCAAATTGATTAATGGATGCTAAATATTTAAAACATTTTCCAGTTGCCGTGTAAAGCGAAACCATGAAAAGTTGCCGCTGCGTTGTTGCTGTTATTAATTGTTGTAGTTTATGCCTTAAAACGGCAACCAGTTTAGTTGAGCCCCCCACCAACCAAAATGACTATCGCATCTGTTCGATCTTTGCAAACGATCTCAAATTGCAGTGGAAAATGGAAACAAACTTTTAGCTTCGGTTAATTGCGCAAATTTAGCCAAGAGGCTCTGATTTAATCCATGGAAATAGCAAATGTTAATCATGTGGGTTGTGTCTTGTGTCTTGCACAAAGAGACAGACAACAGATATACGAGCTCATTTCTTGCCACACATTCGTTGCCTTTGTTCCAAGTACGAAGCGGGCAAATTAATTAATAAAATACAAAAAAGGGGAGAGAAAAAAGTAATGGAGAAAAAATGAAACAAATCGAAATAAGCATAAACAATGCTGAGCTAATTAAAGCAGCAGCCCAGCAACAACAAATGCCAAGCCAGACCGACCCACATCTAAAAGCTGATCATTTTTAAAATAGTTATGATGGAACATTAAAATACTCAGTGTTTTAATATTTTAAAAATGTTTTAATGCTCATTAAATTTAGAAAAATTGGAAAGGTGAAGTTTAAGAATGGTTATCACATTAATATCGTTTACTTATGAAACTGGAGTAGAAAGTATTAAAAATATTTATTGCATCTTGAATAACGTTTTTAGAGTGGCAAATATATATATGTTACTAAATCTAAACTGGGAAAAACTTAGTTAATAGTTATAATTCAGCTATCTTTTCTTTTGTTACGAATCGTCTTTAAAAACCATCACTCTTTCACTACTACTTATTAAAAAATAAAAACTGTTGCACTTGAAGCGCAACGTGGAAACATAAATCATGGCAAAAAGTCATTTTACAGCAATTCCAAATCGTAATCCGCCGCAAAGGCCAAATGGTAGGGAGGCAAGGGGACAGGGGAGTGGCCGACAAGCCACGCATGAACTCGAACTGAACCTGGCCTGAACTTTAAGCCCAGTAGCAATTGTTGGGGGAGGGCATGTGCCAAAAGCCGACAGCCACAAATAGCAAAGGGAAATCTGAGTGCACAGAAAATATTTATTTATCAAGATTTTATCAAAAATTATCATCTAATTATTACAAAAAATATTAACCTAGGAACTTGTTTTTTCTTTTAACCATAAAATGATAAAAATTGTTATATTTTTATATCTGACAACTTGTTCACATATGTAAATTCAAAGGTTTTTATAACTTTTTATATAAAAAGAGGGTCCCTTAAATGTAAACAATTTAATATTTGAATCTTTTCGTGTTTTGAATACTGTTAATTTAAATGTAACATGCAACATGCAATGTATATTTCATTTAATATTAAAATACTCTTTTTTTTGTGTGTTGCAAGTCGTGAGTGTTTCTTTTATAGAGTCAAATCAGGTTGATGAGCATTGGACAGTCGCTGAAAGTAAACTAGTTCTGGGATCTCCAACTCCCGAGGAGCAACAGGCCGGCATTCTGGGTGCGGTGGTCTCCTTTCCGGCACGAACTCAAACTTTAAGCTAGAGCATAGCGAAACTATAGCCAATAGCCTGGGGAATAAAAGCTTTAATGCCTTCCCGGGCCCGGCCAGAGTGCAAGAAACCCATAAATTAGCCGGAGTGCGCCTTATCCATGTGTGCGCCATGGCGGTGCGATGGTTGGTGCTCCATCTGAGTTTGTGGTCAAATAAATAGAAAATTAGCCAGACATTGGCCAGCCAAGCAGCACAAGGCACAAGAAACGTACAAATAATGTGGATGTTGCAGCAGCATAAAGAGAGCAATAACAACGCAAGCAACGACGCACATTAGTTGCCATAAACTGAAGTCGATGCTGGAACTAAAACCGAAACTTTTGGAGGCAGAGGCAACAGCTCATTGCCGCTAATTAATTGCGAGTGGTCAGGCGGGCCCCACAAAGAGGTGTTGGATTGGCTCCAAAAATGGTACCGAGATCAAGGGGGTATTCGATAGGGGCTGCTATAAATTTGCCAACGTCAGCAGCTGCTGGCCAGAAATTTAAGGCTCCTTCAGCTGGAAGAAAATCAAGACATGCCGAAGAAAAGAAAATTCCCTGTTTGGCTGTGCTTTAATTTCTAGTCAATCTGTTTTTATTCGGTTAAGAAGTTATTCAAGATTTATATTGCCTGGGGTAGGTACACCATTTAAATAAACTTTGAAAGTCCAAATAAAAACGAACTAATTAAAAACTGTTAACGACCCATTTGATTTACAAGCACTCCTTTCTCCTTGAATAAGGACATTTGATAAAGTAAACCGAGTGCAAAAGGCTGTTAGAAACTAAAACCGTCATGGTCTTACTTAATCTCTGTACCACCCATTTTTGAGGCCTCACCCCAAAATGATTCACGAAATAAATACTCCAAACTTGTAAATATTTTTTACGCTCGCGTGTTAATCGCAAACAAATTAAAACCAAGATACACACACAGAGAGCCACATATGAAAAGGAGGAGGTGGAGAGCTGTTAATGAAAATGCCACAAAATTCCCATAATGCATTTGCGAGGCTGTCTAGGAGACAACTTCGACTTCACGCTGCGCTACACAAAAAACAGTACAAAAACGCCAGAGGACAAAAAAAAAAAAGAGCTGTGAAAAGTCTCATTACTTTGGACAAATATGCAGTGTTAGTTGGCGAGGAGTTGGGCCAAATGTGCAAAGTTGCCAAGTTTTTGTGGGGCCAAACTAAAGGAGAGGGCAGCAACTAGACCGCAGCAGCTCGCGTGTTTTGCGGTGGCAAGTTCATAGATACACAAACATAGAGTATAGTATCCACTCCATATACATATATGTAGAGCA